TACACCGCTGGGTGTTCAGAACTAACAACTGAAACACTTTTTAAGTCAGCACTTGGATACGCTCATTCTGTTCTCTCGTAGGGGTAAGAAGGTGTTTGTACTGGCTCACTTCTAAAAGGTAAAGCCTTGGCAAATTGACTTGGGTGGTGTTTGCCTGCTCAACACCTCTGAGCAGTGACAGGCACATGGCCTTTCTAAGCCTCTGTGATACTAATGCATTTGTCACAGAACACCCCAACTGTGGCCCAGCAGGAACAATCATATCCTGTCTGTGGTACATTGGCCTTGGCTGGGTGCCAAGTGCCCACCAAGCTGCTCTATCACTCCTCTCCTCTGCTAGACAGGGAAGAGAAAATACAACAAAGGCTCACGGGTTGACATAAAGCCAGGAGAAATCACTCACCAATTACCGTCACATGAGCAAAACAAACAGATTGGGACACAGTTCCTCACAAACTGCTCCAGTGTGGGTCCCTTTCCACAGAGTGGAGTCCTTCAGGAACAGGCTGCTCCAGTGTGGGTCCCCCATGGGGTCACAAGTCCTGCCAGCAAACCTGCTCCAGCTTCTCATGGTGGCACATTCACTCACTTCAGTGCGGGGTCCTCCATGGGCTGCAGAGGCACAGCTGCCTCACCATGGGCTGCACCACAGGCTGCAGGGGTATCTCTGCCCAGCCACCTGAAGCACCTCCTCCCTCTCCTTCTTCACTGATTTTGGTGTCTGCAGGGCTCTTTCTCTCACTCCTTTCTACCAGTTGCTGATCAGCAGCAGGGCTTTTCCCCTTCTTAGATGTTACCACAGAGGTGCTACCACTGTTGCTTATAAAAGCCCCTGGCCACAGCTGAGCTAATGGGACATGTGAGAAGCTTCCGGCATCCTTGTAGCCCACTCACTACCAAACCCTTGCCACGCAAACCCAAAACACTGCCCCAAGAGCAAGGTTTCTGTGTGCTTTGCCAAATTCAGGAAGCAACATGAGGTCAGTCACATTGGCTCAGAGCATGGACTTACTATTTATTTATCCCAGTCACTCTCATCCTGGCAATAACTAAGACCTTCTGTTTCAGAAACTACTCTCATCATTCAGAAAACCTAATGGGCACAGCCATGTGTTGCCTCAGGAAATGTTTTCTTTTTGCTTGTTCTGAACACTCATGAACTCTGCTCTGTCGATGTCCTTAGTCCTATGAAGCAGGCTAAGGGAACACTGCACATCCAGTCTGCCACACAAGGGACAAAAGAAATGCGAATACAGCATGATTTCATTACACTACTTCCCCAAAACACCCTTCCCCCTTACCTTACTGCAATTTGACATCCTCTCTCGCTTGGACTCCTGCAAACACCCTTGCCCCTGCCTTCTTAGCGATGACAGCACCATTGCCCTTCCTGGTCTCCACCTTTTCTCTTGTCACTTGTGTACAATCGCTTACTGCCTGCCCAGAATGTGAAATCCCCTTCAGACCAATGAGCTGTGCCTGCACTCAGGCATGAGCAGAGTGCCATGCACCTCAGCAATTTACATTAATCTCGCTATTGGGGTTCACAGAGACACAAGAAAACCAACAAATTCATGGACAAGAGAATCTGCTGCCACACTGCTCAAATTCAGGAAAAATCTGTGCTAATTATACAAGTTACTGGAGGACAAAGCAATTAACCTCTACATACGGCAATATTTAAGTATCACTCAAAGCATCACTGGGCACACAAATGAAAGACAAGTGGACTAGTGAAAAGGGCAAAGAAAGCATTAAAGGAAAGGAAGAATCATAGAACAGAATCATAGAATCAGCCGGGTTGGAAAGGACCTCTGAGATCATCAAGTCCAACCCTTGATCACTACCACCGTGGTTACTAGACCATGGCACTAAGTGCCACATCCAGTCTCATCTTAAAAACCTCCAGGGATGGAGAATCCACCACTTCCCTGGGCAGCCCATTCCAATGCCTGATGACCCTCTCTGTAAAGAATTTCTCCCTAATATCTAACCTAAATCTCCCCTGGCAGAGCTTAAGACCATAATGATGTGGAAGATACTCTTAACACAGGTTGAAGACAGACAAGACGCCATCACTTGCACTACAATACTCCACTTAGCTGCAATTCCAAAACAATACTGTTTAAATAGCAAAGGCTTACAAGATGTCACTAAAAACAAGACAAAGACACCATATAAAAAGATGCAAAGGATTAGAAAAGAGATTTGGTATAAACCAGAGAAAGCAAAGGCATGCAGAGCTTCCACTGATAAAATATTTCAATACTGGTACAGGTGACCAGACTTGACTACCCAAAACCTAATGGGGATGATTTCCACACAGTAGTATCAGTCCAAGAAATACACCCTATTTGTAGGAGATTGAATTAGCCACTCACATTCATCAAAACATCACTGGACATAATAAACATGTTTTGGGGTAGAAGTGAATGGTCCTAGCAGATGTTCACTGCTGGGCAGCAGAATTGGCAACTGTGTGTGTGAAAAGGCCCCAGTTAAAAACACAGGATTAGTTTATTTCCCTTGTTTCTTGCATTATTTCTTGAGGCCCTAATTTCCCCATTTTTTCATTCATTTTTCCCCCTAGAATATAACTTACCTTTTCTGTTCTGTCTCTGTAGTCTATTTCATTTTTTCCCTTCATCCATTATTTTGTGGATTATTTCCTCTTTTTTGCACCTCTTGATACGCTACTGTTACCTACTGATAACAGGGACATTTCCTGCTCAGGAGCACAGCCTCCTCGTGTTTCCTATCCTTCCACAGACTCCTGTGACACATGGACACCTTATGCCTTTCTCAGCCTGTAGAGGGCTATACGACCAGCTGAGCACATCAGAGCGTCCAGGATGCAAGAACAGATGGCCTAAGAAATGGCTGATATCTGCCCAGTTGTTCCCTGCTGAAACAAAATTAGTGCTGGACTCAAATATAACTCCTTTTGCTCCAGACTAAAGATTACAGAGCCCTCCAACAGATGTCAAAAGTAAAACTACTGTTCCCATTCACATCCAGCTGTGGAAAGGAAAGGGTGCCTGTCAGTGGTCCTCTCTCTGAGCTTTGCTAAAGCTCACCATTTCCTCACCAGAGAAAACCAAAATGACTAAAACAGATAGTGGGACACCTTGCCAGTCCCAAAAGTCCACCTTTAGAGATGTGCCTCCCCCCTTGGCCCCACTCAGACACACCACGGAGAACCCTTTCACAAGACAATCAGTGACTCCTCACACCTGCATCACCTCATGTGTTTGACACCTCAGTTTTGTTTAAGGGCCTTTGCTGTACTTTTCGTAAGGTTTTCGTTCTCACCTGGATCATTTTGAGATGAGGAAACCACACTGTGCTCACCACTGTGGATGAGAACCACCATCTGCACACCCTGAACCTCAGCCCAAGCCGTGCCCACAGCCACGCACCGCCCGGTTCTCCCACTCCACCTGTCCTGGCGAGGACCTCTGCAGCTCCTCCGCGTCTGAATTTGCACAGAGCAATTGTCCTGGAGATGTGTGAGATCTTCCACGGTAGAAGGTGTCCCTGCCCACAACAGGGGGGCTGGAAGTGGATGATCTTTAAGGTCCCTTCCAACCCAAACCACTCTACAGTTCTGTGATTCCACATACGGGGAAGGCGACTACGGGGAAGAGGCCCCTACACGGTTTTTGTTCCAGGGACCGCTCACGCATCTCCAGCGCACACCCTGCTGTGATCCCGAGCTCATCCTCTGAGCGGAGCAGGTGAGGGAGGGATGCAGGACTTGGAATATGAAATATGACCAAGCCATTTGCCAACTCATTTCCCACTGAGCGGGCGGCCGTGACCCCCCGATGCGCGCTGAGGCCGCCGCCCGTACCGGAGGTGCTGCCGCCGGGCCCCCCCTCACCTCTCCCGCCGGGCCCCGCCGCCTCCGCCTCCTCGTCCCCCGAGAGGCTACCGTCGTCGTCGCTGTCGCCATCGCCCTCCGCCGCCTCCAGCCTCCCGAGCGGCTGCTCCGCGACCGCATCTTCCTCGCCCTCCGTGGCGGCGGCAGCGGCGACTCGTCCCCGTCCCCGTCCCGCCCGGTCCCGGTGCGGCCGCATCGCCCCCGCCCGCGGCCCCGCCCTCCCGGAAGCGGAACCAGGGCACACCAGAGAGTCACGTGGGGGAGCGGGTTTTATTTGCGTCATTTTTAAGCAAAAATCGTTCCTTTGTGAGGAATAGGTCACGTACGCACTCTGGTGATATCCAGCTAATTCGTCAATAAATGGTAAAGTGCAAGATCGAGATCCCTCTGCACTGCTGAACTGAGTCATCTTGATGCTGGATTGTATCACAGCCTGACCAAGGTTTCTAACACGAGCACCAACTGTAGAGGGTTTGCCATCGCCTTGAATTGCAAAGGCCTTAGCAGTGACTGTCTGAACGGAGATGGAGTTACACACAGTGGCCTGCATTAGGAGAGATACAGTCAGCACACCAAGGGATGTCAGTGTCTTTGTAGACTTGAGACCTGTGAGGGCACACTTGGAATGTTGCATCCAATTTTCTCACCGCTCCCCAGTTAAAAGGAGAGGGGAGGAACTGGGGAGGGTTCAGTAGAGAGTTCCCAAGACAGTCAGAGGAATCGGCATCGCCTTCCTCGGGAAGGGGCGGGGGTCTTGGCGCGGGGGGGGCAGAGGCGGTCGGCGAGAGGCGGTCGGCGAGGGCGCGGAGCTGCGCGGCGAGACGGCTGAGCTCCGGGCCCGCCGGCGGGGCGGCGGCGCGGGGGTGCCGGGAGCGCAGGTGGGCCGCCTCCTCCTCCCTGCGGGGACAAGGGGTCAGGGGCGGCAGGTGATGCGGCGGTCCCCGCCACCCCCCCGGAGCCCCCTCACCTGAGGCAGGTGCAGGTGCAGGAGATGCAGCGGCCCCCGCCGTCCCGCCTCGCCCACACTCGCAGCCAGGCCCAGGCGCGGTCCCGGCGCAGCACCCGCAGCACCGCGGTCCCCGAGGCGGGCCCGGCGCCGGCCCCGAGCGCTGCGGGCAAGGGAAGCGACTGCGTTAGGCGGCGGCAGGCCGCCTGTACACCCCCTAGGCTGCCCCGATGAGGTCTGCAGGCGGTCACTGCTCTGGCCCCAGCGCCACAGAAGCCACAGAAGCAGAGTCAGACCGTAGGAGTCCTGCCCCCCGAAAGAGCTGGAGCTCAAGGGGGCTTGTCCCTCCTCTGTCCACTGTGGCAAATCCTCCGAAGCTTGGAAGCTACCTGTGACCTTATAGACAGTGTGTGACCAATTCCCTGCCTCATCCTTTTGGAGCAGGGAGTCTCAGTTGGGCAGGACTGAATTCGATTTGTGTCTCCTGTCCTGGATAGACATGTTTCAGGCACAGCCAGACCATGTAGCCAGAGGACAGTACACATGTTCCTGGGCCCGACACTCACCCACGGCCCTGTGCTGGGCAGCTGCCAGATCAGCATCCTCAGGGTGCAGGAGGCTGTACCAGGACTGACCGACTAGCTCCTCCCTGCGGTAGCCAAGGTGGTAGGTGACACTGGGGGAGACAAGGGGAGTGGGGACTGAGTGCCATACAGGGTCCGCACCCTGTCAGCAAGGAGCAGCAGCTGCTTGATGGAGAGCAAAACAACAGAGGTACAGAAATAAGTTGTAAAGGAGGGAAGAGGTCTGTGAGTCTCAGTGCTCACACAGTATCTAGCCTGCATCCCATACAAGGCTTGGTGAAGGGAAATGATTCTTGCTGCCTGAGATGTACAGCTGGGGCTCTGGTGCAAGCAGGCACACCTCACCTCTCCGTGACATCAATAAACGTCATGTCTAGGATGTGCGTGCTCTGGAATATGTCATCCTGGGAACCACCTTCGCCATCTGCAGGCGACTGCATGACCGGTGAGCAGAGGGCCAGGAAGGCTGTGGTGGAGGGGGAGGGTGGCCAGCTCAGGACCACAAAGCGCCCACACACTGTCACGACCCGATTCCCTCCGTGCTTCAGCCGGAAGGCCTTGGACGTGCACATCTCACTGACAAAAGTGACTTCTGCAGAGAAACAAACCATTCCGAGTGGGTCAGAGGCTCCCCTGCTCTGCTCTCAGCAGGGCTGGCCCTGGATCTCTGATCACAGCCACTGAGGGCCAGAGCAAGATGGCAACATCTGCAAGATGCCAGCAGAGGCCTCCCTTACCCCTGCCAGGCTCCTTCTGGGCGAGGAGGAGCTTCTTGTACACATCCTCACATGCTTGCCCATCCAGGATGTCAAAGACCGTGTCCCCCTGGGCGAGCAGCTCCACCTGACAAAAGAGGGGGCTTTCCTCAAGAACTGTGCCTGTTTTGGTGAGCCTTGGCTGGCACCATGGGCACACAGACCACTGGAGCCACAACCCAGCATCTGCTGGGGCAGTGTGCTGTGCACACAATAAAGGCACCAGGACAGTGACTGCAAATGCCTAGTGAGCAAGCCTTACCACGGAAAGGCCCAGGACCTGAGCCACGTTCTCCGAGACGTAGACCAGCTTTCCACTGGCCGACAGCACAAGCAGAAACCCTGGGAGCAGGGAGAGTAGCTCTGTGCCGAGGGCCGGTTCCACAGGAGGAGCTGAGCCTGCAGGGGGATCAGGGTGAAGTGCTGTCTTGATGGAGCAGGAGCAGCGCCCCACACAGATGTAAGATAGTATGGGGTACAGCAGTGCCATGGGTACCTGGAGGGAACAGCTGAGCCCCCCGCAGCTGGAGGCACACCAGGGCCATGGTGTGGAGGTAGGAGAGCCGCTCCTTCTCCTGCATGGAGATGGGCAGCAGGGAACGCAATGCCTGCAGCTCTGCATTGATCTGGTCCCGGCGAGCCTTGGAGGCACTCTTGGTTGACCTGCAAAGCCAGCCATCTGGGGAGGTGCATCCAGGGAGGGAAAGGGACAGCATTCCCCACCTGTCGCTATGGGGAGAATTATGAGCTTGGGGATATGGAGTGGAGATGCTCAGCACCCATGCCAGCTGCTGCCTCTAGGAGAGCAAACCTTGCGTAGCTGTTTTGGTGCACTGGGTGCAGGCAGAGGTGCTCAAGGCTACCCAAGGGGACATGCTGCTGGAGTGGCTGGTGTCTGTCCTGCTGGGGACCAGGTTGGACAATGACCTGTGCTTTAGTGAGGAGCCCACGCGACACAACCTCGCCACCAAACCCCGCAAGGATGGAAATTGCATCCAGTGCCAGAACGTGCACCCCAGTCCACCAGATATGTCTTTCCTCTTCAACTACCCAAAATCCCTCTGCCCCACCAAGCTCCTGCACCTCCTCCCCATGTGCCAGCTGACAGCCCCACTGTCTCAGGCTGGTGTAAGCCTTTTGCAAGGGCCATCAGACCTGTCCCAGGGCTCTCAGAGGCCATCACAGCCCTGAAAGTGGGAGGTGGGGGGGAGCTCACCTGAATGGCCTTGAGGCCCTGGGCGCCTGCTTGCCCCTCCTGGGCAGGCAGCTCATCTCTGTCTGCAGGGGCTGGTGGCAGTGGCTGCAGAAGATGGTCATACTGCTGGTGCTGTAATGCCTGAAGCTGGCAGGCCTGAACTGCTGCCTCCTTCGCTTCTGGCTGTGGCTGAACCTGCTGACCCCTCTGCTCCTGGCCTCCTTTTGTATCCTCCTGGGGTGCAGAGGCCAAGCCACTCGTGGAGAGAGTTACCTCTTGTGACGCAACTCCAAACAGCTCAGAGCTATTTTTAGAAGGCAGGCTGCTAAAAATAGCCTTGCAGCCAGTTGCAATCTGAGAGGGGAAGTAATAAAAGGAAGCCAGGGTCTTTAAAGCAAACCTGCCACTCAGGAGGGGGCAGTGACGAAGACAGCAGGGATCCCCCTGCATGGCATACATCTGCCCAGTTCCGGGCCCACAGCTGCTGCCACCCCAGTAGAAGGTTCTGTGTCTAGTCTGCCTGCCTGGCAGCTGCTCTCCAGCATCACTGGTGAGCTGGGTGCTGTGAGAAGGAGCTGATAAGCCAAGAAAAAGGCACTGAAGATATCTGAACCAAGACAGTGAGAATTTCCCATGCTCAGGCCTGCAGCAGGGTCCTGGCAGAGGGAGTCAGGGCCACAGCACCCCTGAACCCAAGAGAACCCTTCAAGGAGATTGGGGTGTTGGTGACCCCATTCTTTTCTTCCCAGGGAGGCCTTTTCCCCACCAAAGGTTTGCTCTCCTAGAGGCAACTGACATGGGTGCTGAGCCTTTCTACGGCCTGTTGTCTCCACTTGATGGTGTAGAGATTGTGATTCTTCCCAGACAAGCCCCAGTGACAGCCATTCATGGACAGAATTGAGAGCACCCTTGGAGAGCCTCTGCTCAGCACCACATTACCCAGCCCAGCAAGTCTGTGTGGTCTGTGGGTGTTTCCTGGTGCCTGGCATCCTGCAAGGACAGTAAGCTTGGTGCTTCAGTGCTGGGAGAGGGGATGCCATGGCAAAAAATCACTATTTCATTTCACAGCTTGAGAGAGAGCCTGTGGCTGAAGCAGTTGATTTGAGGAGTTAGAGCTGCTGCACAACAGAGAGTAGATGTCCACCCAGCCCTCACAAGTAATCTGCAGGTGCCAAGGACCACAAAGGAGGAGCCGAGGCTGGGGCTGTTCTCCCTGAGCCAGATGTACTGTCAGCACACCTGTCTCCCTCCAGGCCCCAGGCTGCCACTGATGCTAATCACCCACCACGGTGAGCTGCCAGTGCATGAAGAACAAGCTCTTGTCACAATTGAGGTGCCTTCTGTTCTCCTGCCACCAGGTTTTCACCACTCTTGTGCCACTCCAGACTGCTCCATTGTGCCCACATTGGCCACCCCCTGCAGGTCAAGGAGCCCAGGCACCCACGCAACCTTGTGCTGCTGGATGAGCAGCACTTGACTCTGGCTGTGTGCCAGCCCTCAGGGCAGGGCAGACAACCTAGGCTCTCTGCCACCCATTCCTGGCATGCGGCTGCAATCATCTTGGCTGCCCAAGAAACACCCTGAGTGCTTCCCTAGGCTAATGCTGTCCCTGCATTAGCCTCACTAGAGTTGCCATGGGAGCTCCTCTTCACATCAGACACCACACGTCCACAGAAAGGGGCTTGAGCACAGTGCTCTGTGCCACCTGGGAAGACTGTCCCAGGCACCACTCCATCTCCAGCCCTGAAGCAGGAAGCAACAGGGCATCCACCTTTCTGAGGCAGCACAGCCCAGGAGATGTACACCACTTTCTTCCCTGTCCTCTTGGCAAGGCAGCACAGCCCTGGGCAGGAGGCAGGTACACCAGGGCAGTGCTGCTGTGGAGGGCCCAGCTTCCCTTCTGCCACCTCAGCCAGGGCTCACAACAGCCAGAGCCTGCTGCTGCCACAAGCCACTAGTGGCCTGCAGCTTTGGGGGAAAGCACTTGGTTCAGTCTCTCCTCTCTCACACCCTCTCTCCCCCAGTTCACCTGCTAGGACACACACAGCAGCAGAAACCATGTCTGCCTCAGAATTTATAAAACTGCCCCCGACTGCTGTTTTACAATTGGATCTGGGCAGAGTCCAGCTGGGCCCAGCCCTCCACATTGGGCTCAGCTTGGAGCTGGGGCCTGTCATCCAGTGCCAGGAAGTTGGTCAGTGCTGGCAGGAGCAGGTGTAGAGGTTCCTGCTCTCTTGAGGCAATGCAGGAACAGTTCATAGCCTGAGGTCAACCCCAGGGCCATGGCTGGTGGTAAAAGTTGATTCAGGCCCTTGGAAAGTGGCCGGGGACCGGACAGCACAGCTGCAGTTCCACAGGCAAAGGGAAGGAAGACGCTGGAGCCATCAGCAAGGAGAGGGGTCACAGCTGTGCTGCTGGGGCCAGCCAGTTTTTTTCCCCAGTGGCCAGCTCTGCCTGTACACTCGTGCTGCCCAAAGCATGACAAAGGCAGAGGGAGGCCTGGCTAGGGCAAGACAAACTGAGCTCACACCTTCCTTGCTTGAAAGGGCTAAAAATTCATGCAGGCAGTGGAGCAAGAGGTCAATGTGTGGAGGGGCAAGGGCAGGGTGGTAGAGGGACGAGTCGGCATCAGCCCTGGTTGGAGACAATGGGGCGACTGATGGTGCTGTTTGTTGTCATGGCCGAGAGCTCCCATCTGTAACACACCAAAGGGACACACTAAGAGAAAGCACAAACACAGCGCCCAGGGCTGGAGCAGCTTTGCTTCACATCAGCCTCAGCTGTAGTCTCCAGCCCAGCCTGCCCCAAAGCTGCACAGTGCCAAGGAAGACCCTAGGCAGACCTCAGCCAGGGCTGGAGCACCCTAAGGAAAGGGATCACCCACAAGGTGACCTCCCGGCAAGGCACACCATACCTGATGTCATGGGGAAGGCAGGACTGGTCCAGGCTGTACTGAATCACTGCTAGCTTACACAGCGTCTTTAGACTGGGGCCTGTGGAAAGAGGGCAGTTAGCCACAGCAGTCCTCATCTGGACATCATGGGGGGGTCCAGCATCATGCAATCAGTGCCACAGGAAACAGGGCGGAGCACCCTGGCCATCCCTCTCAGGGACAAGGCAGAATGCATACCAGGAGCAGTTTTCTATGCTGCCACAAAGAAGTATGTGTGCAGGAGTGCATGACACACAGCTGCACCTCTGGCTGGTCTCTTGTCAGCCATGTACACTTGTCAGAGACAGCTGTTTGGCTCTGGGATACAGGCACCTGGAGCCACGTAGGGCACAGTATGGTGCTTCACAGCAGGGCCTGCTCACAGGGCACCTTGTGGCAAGAGGTACAGGCTGGGCAGGGAGTGCTCACGTACTGAAGTCGAGGATGTAGAGATCTGAGTGATCCATCAGGTCGAATTCATCACCCATTCCCTCCTCTGGAGATGGGCTGCAGAAACCAAGCACAGTGTGTCAATCAGTGCCAAATTTTATTTTTTTTTTTTTACACCAATTACAGTCCCTTGGGCTCCCCAAGGGCTGAGCAAGTCTCATCCCTCCTGCCCCTCTGATGCCCCCAGCAGCATTCAAAGTCATCCCTTTCACAGTTCCTCGCAGAGTAGGCAGAGCCACACAGAGCCAGAGAGCAAAAACACACCGTCTCCCCCGCAAGCAAGGGATGAGGGATCTGCCTCCTTCTCACAGATGACCATGATGATTCCAGCTGTGAACCTCCCCCTCACCTTGCCAGCCTCTGTTACTTTGCTGCACCTCCAAACACAGGTCCCACCCTGCAGGGAACAATCCTTTTCCCTTCTTGCACAATTGACCAGCCTCTAACTGGTTTCACTCTCTTCCTTCTCCATGTACCTCTCAAACTGCTCTCCAACAAGTGAGCAGCCCTGGGGACTTCCCTAGAAAAGTGGCACCCACCCCCCAAGACATGAGGAAAGTGATGGCAAACAGCTGCCTCCATAACTTAGGCATTTCAAGGCTCTATTTGCTCAGCAACTTCAGTGGATCCAACCCTCCAAAGAGCTCCACTCAGAGAGGCAGAGCCGATCCCCAAGACAGGGCTGAGAATGACACTGATCAGGCTGGAGAAGGGATGTCACAGCAGCTCCTGAAGGTAGGCACACACGCTTGCACAAGCCTCTGTCCCGCTCCTTATGAGATAAACAAGCCCCATGGGCTGCTCCACAGCTGTCACGGCCAGACAGGCTGGCATCACCTGGAGAATCAGTTCAGTGCTGGAGACTAACCAGCTTCTCAGCTGTGCTGTATCATGGAAGGCTGCCCTAGTAACGTTAGGAGACACATACAGATCAAACTTTCCAAGCAGGCAGGGTCAGCCCATCCTCACCTGGTCCCAAACACCACATGGGGCAGCATTACACAGCCCACACTGTGCTTTCTACAGACCTCAGGCCAGCTTCGCCTCACAGCCAAGGGAAGGCATGGGAAGCACTGTGAAATACAAGGATTTGGGAAAACATCACATGGGACAGGCATTTGATCTAGGAAGAATCTGACACTACATACTGACAAACTACAAAGACCAAAAAGCTGTACTGGTGTCCCTAATGAGGTAGGAGAGATAAGTTGGAGACCCAAGAGGACTTTCTGCCAAGATCTCTAGTTGTGCATCTGGGCCACAGATGACAGGAACCATGACCTATGTCCAGAGATGGTGACAGCCAGGAAAACATACTATTTTATTAGCTTGTGTTCCTAGGCCAGCAGCTGGACTGGTTTTGGGTTCTGCTGCATGAGCTGAAGTTGTGTGGCCAAGCACAACAGCACAAGGTTTAAAACAGATTCTGCCCAGGCACACACTGTCCATCACTATTCACATAGTTAAGATCTACTGCAATTATTTCAGCTTGGCCATTGAGATGCTGTAAGAAGAGTGTAGAGAAAGCAGATGGGAAACATCTGCATGGCAGGGCAAGCACAGACATTTCTCAGTCCGACTCAGGAATCACTTTGGGCTCCAGCCACAGCTCCCTAATTGTGCCAAAATGGGGACAGCATTTCAGAGGACTGTAACTGAGCACAGAGCAGTGCAGCAGTCATTTTAAACCAATTCCAATTTGCTGATACTCCCATCTGATGTTGGTCCTGGAATGCTAATGAGGAACTATGACTTCAGGCATTTCTAGGGAACAGACAGTCTCACTTATAGTTTCCTGCCTCCATGGTCTTGATGGAATAGCCAAAGCACCTGAGAAAAAACTGAACATCCCTTAGCACAGAGAGACTGCCTGTGCTGGAACAGTAGTGCCTGGACCAGAGGAAAACACTCCCATGGCTGATGGTTGTTTGGAGAATTTAAAAGAAAGAAAAGGTGGTTTAAGTCCTGCTTTGGTTTGTGATGAACCAATTTAGGGTGCCCTCACTGCTTAGCTAGGAATGACCTCATGCAGTGACTTCTTGCCCCAGTGTCACCTGTCTATGACCCACTAAGCTTCACTTCCCATAGGACATGAGGCAGTACCTGCCTCCCCAGGTTCCCATAACCCCAGGCCAAACTGCAGCACACAGCTCCCTGTTGTCAGAGAAGACCTGCTGCTGATGGGACCCATCTGCCCGGATACAGGCAAGAGCCCCTTTAATTCCGCCCCTGTGTGCTTACCACACAACCATCTAATCTCACATCCACGTCACAGGAAACCCTAGACCATCCCTTATCTATCAAAGGAAAGCCAGCAGGCACCACATCTGTGGTTTTAATCACCAAAAGGCAAGTAGCAGGGTAAGCCTGGAGTTCAAGACCAGGAGAGCTGCAACTCCCAGGCAGCAGGGTGCAGGGCATGCCTCTGTCAGCAAAATGGATTGTTCCAGCTGCAAAACAATGCTCCCTGCACTAAGCACTCAGCGAGAGCCATTACTCCCTCACCAGAGCCAGGCATTTCTAAGCCTTGTCAGGGAAAACACAGCCTCAAGACAAATCTGGATTGGCATCTCTCATCTGTTCAGCTATTTCATCTGTTCAGCAAAACTCTGCTTTATAGCATTCCTTCTCCCTTGTAGATGGTCTCTGCACACCAAAATGTTGGTGAGTTTGGGAGGAAACCAGACCAGGGCCACAACTGTGACACAGCTAATGGGAACACTGAGCTTCCTGGTCACTTAAACGGGACATAAGTGATAGATTGCTCCTGGGCACAGTGAGAGACCACAGCTGGGGCAAAAAGACCAGGCTCTGGGCAGGACTACAAAAGAAACAAAGCATTTGGATGCCATACAAGCAGGCAGCCTGAAGAAGTGCCTCTTCAACAGTCTACAGGACTTGTGAATCCTGTTAAGAGCAGGCAGGACACAAAGGGTTTTTGCCTGCCTATCCCCCAGCATTGCCACCTAGGAAGCTGAGCCTGCGGGCTCACCCTCCAAGAATCCTGCTGGATCTCCTGCAGTATGCGAGCCCCCTCCCCCTTCCCAGCCAGGGGAGCACAGGTCAGGAGGCAGACCACTGGGAGTTCTCCATTACAATGACTTCCTGGAAAAACTTCTTATCTTGCCAGGCAGCTTCAGAACACACCTGATAACTATTACAGGAAGCGAGCATGGTCCCCACCCCCATCTCCCACTTCCCCAGCTTGCGAGACCCTCCCTCCAGTTCAAGCAGGCTGCATTCCTGGCTGCCTGCAGCTCTTCCTACCCCACACTACTGCTGATGAACATGCCTGTATTGGTTTTGAGCCTGAATTAAGAAACAAGTTGAATTCTGAAGTGATTCAGTGGAGAAGACAAGGCACTGATGCATTGCCTGGCAAGGGCAGACCAAACTCCAAAAAGCTGGTGTCAAATTCTTTGTGGTTTGCTCACATTTCCTAGGAGTGCCAAGGCTTAACATCAGAGTTCAGCTGCTGCTGTAACACAAATCTACATACACTGCAACATCTGGGACCATCCAAAACTACCATAAAGTTCTACCAAGCCTTCTTCTGTACTGAGC